GCGGGCCGCAGGTCGGGAGGCCTCCGGAGTGGGCACCGGCCCGAGGCCTGGGCGCGCTCACCTGCACTGCGGTCCCCGCGGCACACCGACCCCTGCTGGCCGCGGCTGAGCGCCAGGCGCGGGGGCGCATGGCCGACCCCCTTCGGCCAGGCCGATTCAGCCCAACCCCCTCCGGCCTCGGAAGGGGAGCTCCGCTTCCTCCCACCCACCCACCCCTCTCTCCGCTTCTCACCAGCAGCACCCGGGACCGCAGCGCGAGCGGGCGGACGCGGGCACGCGGGGCCGGGACCCGCCGCGAAGCCACACACCGGCAGCCCCCACCTCGCTCGGCGCCGAGGTACTCAGGCAGCGCGAGCCCCGCCGCCGCCTCAGGCGCCCTCGCATCACGTGGTTCCGGGCAGGGTGATGCCGAGTCCGCGATTCCCAGGCGGCAGCGCGGCCTGTGGAGTGGAGGTGACGCTAGAGCGGTGGCCATGTTTGTTGAGGGCACTGGCTTTTCCCTCAGGCTAGGGAAGCAGGAGCCTTGGGGAGGAGGGAAGGGGGAGGGGAGGGCGCACACACTTGGTCCCTGAAGAGGAACCTGAGCGCCACTTGGACTGGCTCTCATTCCCGCTGGGTGCGGGACGCCGGATCTCACCTCATCTCAGGTGGTTTTGGGGAGCTCATTTTAGCACAGGAATCACAGTGGAGAGGCTTGTCAAAGATCAAAGCACTTTCCACTGCACCACCCTGGGCGCTACACAGAAAATGTGCTTTGATAGCCCTACTGAAGAGAGCAAAGGAATTGGAGGCTTCTGAGGGCCTGGGATTTGTCTAGCCAAGTATGTATAAAATCACCCAGAAAAATTAGATTTGAGGAGTAAAGCTAATTTTCAATATTAAGAAAAACTTTCAGTTAAAAGTTAATTCCATGTACTTTGCTCCTTCTCCAAGCTGTACTTAAGTGAAAGGAATTTAAAGGGAATAAACCCACAAAGAGAAAAAGAACAAGATAGGAGATATCTGCAGACAAGATACACCACCAGCATCTTTAGAAGTCAAGAGCAACAACTTACTCAGTGCTTCATGTGTGGTTGGCATTGTCCCAAATGTTTTACACTTATTAGTCAGTCCTCTTAACCTAAAAGGTTAACTGATCCACACCACAAAGGTTATTCAAACCCAAGCAGCCTCCATTTGGAGGACTAAGCAAAGCTGAGAAAACTGCCTGCAGAAGTGGATATTAAGCAAGTGCCACAGAAGGCAGAACCCCAGAAGGGTTTGGAAGTTCAGGTGCCTGGAAGATAGAAAGGAGGGTTTAAAAATGGAGATTGCTTGTCTACAAGAACAAACACCTAGGTCCTTTCTTCCATCCAGTGCAGATGGGCCAGCCCTCATCTTCCTGAGGCATAGGACTGAGTTCATGATGTTGAAGATAATGAATGGTGCCACTGGGCTCTTCTCCGCCCCTCCAGGAATGTTGGCACCCCTTCTTCCACTCTCTACCCATCCCCTCCCAGCCCCCAACTGTCTCCTCAAAACACCTTTTCTGTGGCAAAATTAAGCAAATGAAAGATTCCTGAGAAACTCATTCAGCATCCACCACAAACTAGTACAGGCCTCATTCACAAACCCAGTACTTCCACTCATTTTGTTTAGAATTTGAAGGAAACAGAACAAAATGGTTTTAAAAGTATCAGACGATATGGGCCATAAAAAAAGGATTTCTTTTTTTAAGGCGAGATGGCAGAACATAGGAAACATCCACAGATGAATTGGAAAAATCAACAACAAAAATAGAGCAAAATCAAAAAGTTCCAGTATCCAATTAACATGCATTTTAGACAAAAAGAAACTTTAAAAAAAAAAAAAACCTAGAAAAATCTTAAAGTGTTTATAGTGAAAGGGCCTATTGAGTGTTCAGCACAATGAATGGTAAGAAATCCACACAAAGGCAAATCATTGTGACATTTCAGAATACTGCAAATAAAATATCTTAAGAGCTGCAGAGAGGAAAAAGAAAAGATTTGGCATTATATACGTAAACAAAAGCACTCAGCTTCCATCAGCAAAACTGTAACTTAAAAGGGAGTAATGCTTTTAAAATGTGAAGATAATTTATTTCTAACCTAGAACTTTTACACCCAGCCAAGTGAGAAAGGAGAATAAAGTTTCAAAGAAGCAGCTAGCCTGGATTTATAGAGGACAAAAGTTTCAAGGACAGGAACTTCTGGGAAGTGTGGGAAAGAACTGTCCCAGATTACCAGGTATCTATCTGACCAGGAAGAAAACAGTAAACATACATTTTTCTATTTCTGTTGGAGAAATCTGGCAGGAATTGACTGCTACACATAAAACAAAAGCAAGGCAACATCACCCAAAGGAAAGTTATTTAGGAAACAGTTATGACTTACTTGTAAGTCATATACTTACTTGTAAGAAAACCCTTTTAAACTAAACATGACTTAATTGAGGCAGGAAAAAGGGAAATTCGGGTGATACCAGGAATACAGAACAGGCCTTATTATTCTACTGTTTTGAAATATGGAATTAAGCTTCTGATGATATACCTTAAAAAGTTGTAAGTGATGGCTTTTGGGGAGTGGATCTCAGGGGCATGGGTTTTAAAAAAAAATGCTTATACTCAGGAAGTTATCATTTACTTGGTGGCCAAGTATTGCTGATGTATAAGCACTGTCAGTGGAGGGAGGTGATCTAAAATGAAGAAATGTGATACAATGTGATATTAAAACAGGACCTCTAAAGTGGTTTTCTGGAAATTAGGATTCTGCGGGAGTGACCAAGTCATCCAAGAATCAGGCAATTCAGTGAACATCAATATGCTCTTCTTTACACACCTTACCTACATTGGTAGGGAACTACCTGATATAAAAATTGAGGTTAATTACTAAGAGTTGGTGGTTTTCCTTCTATGGAAGTAACTGAGCAACAGAGGAAAATTCATTTGATGTTTCCTTATTATCTATTCAGCACTTTTATCATAAAGGTCTGCATTAGTCCTCTTCCTCATTCCCTCTTTCCTTTTCAACATCTTCAGACCTCCAAATACATGATTTAAAAACATATCCATGTTTCTCTATTGTTTTGAAAATATAAATTCAAGGTCAAAATAGAGTTTTCAAGACACAAACTGAACCAAAGAAAGGCTACGAATATTAGAAGCATGGTACTTAGGTAAAATTAAATGAAGCTAGAAATCTGGGGATATAAACTTATGGGTAGAGTGTTTGCCTACCATGTGCAAGGTCCTAGGCTCAATCCCCAGAACTACAGGGAAAAAAAAAAAAACAACAAACCCAAACACTTAACATTGTTTAGCCGCATGTGGTGGTACACACCCCGTTCCCAGCCTACAGGCCAATGAGGCAGGAAGATCTCAAGTTAGAGGTTTATCTGAGCTACATAGGCAAGACCCTGCCTCAAAAAAAAAAAAAAAAAAAAAAAAAAAAAGTGCAAAAAAATAGGTTAGAGTCCACAGGGTAGAAATGATTCAAGACTTTTGGAATGTTTAGAGATGCAATGAGTTGGTACATCAGAGAACTAAGTTTGCTAACAACTGGAAAGAATTTAATTTTAATGCTACTGAAAAGAATGAACTGTGTGCAAATGAGGATTAGTTGCAGACAGCTTCAACTGGAACTGGGTTTTGCATTAAGTGGGGCAGGAGGCAGAAGATTAAGCCTGGATCTGATCTACTTCAACTATCTTTTTCTCCCTTTACTCTGTTGGATGAATTCTGTAGCACACAGTTAAGAACCTACATGACCTTTCCTTTTGTTTTAAATTTATAAACCTTTATGCTTCCCTTCTTTGACCTGTAGAATTTTGACATTCCTCTGGTCTTTTAATACTGGACATTAAAGAGGGCCTAAGAAAATTTAATGGAAGTTAACACAGTGCATTATCAAATTTAGTCCTTAAAACCCTCTGAGGTAATTACCTTAACAGTTACCCAGCTAGTAAATGGGAGTTAGACCTGACTTCAGAGACCATTCCTCTTTATTAATATATTCACTTTCTAGTGTGCTGGAGTCACAATACACCAACAGCCCATATGGACATTATTAGATGAGACCTTCAGGACAGGTATGTTAAAACAGGAGGCTAAAGTGTCATCGCCTGAAAATGCTTCTACCATCCACAACCAGCTATGGTAGGTAGCAGAATTATAAATCCTGTCAAAAATGCTCTAAGATAAGGCTCTTTTTACCTAAACCTAGCTAAATCTTAGTTGAAATCTTTTGAGCTACATTTAAATCATATAATTGCCTACTACCTCTTCATGGTGATAAGAACTCATAAATTATCTATTCTGTGAACAAGAATAACAATTTCTTTTATACTAAGATGCTTGAAAAAACAAAACAAAAACCAAAAGACACAATTAAGCACTGTGCTTTCACATATAAAATTGGAGTTCAGACACCCCACTGTTTACTTTGATTACACTGAAGAGTCCATTAATGAGGGAGTAACTTACTCCAGAGTTTTGCCATGTAGTGTTAGTATTTTATTTCCAGCACTGACACTTTTGAGTTAAAAAGGTCTAGTATAATCTAGGGGTTCCTTTTTAATATGCTCACATATTTGTGATGTAGAAACCAACAAATTCTGGTTTATTTACTTTGATAATATATCTCCCAGAGAAAATTCACTTGGCTTAACACTCTTCATAGCTTCAGTACAATCACAGGGTGTTCTGGGATCTCACTGACAACTGTGCTTCTTATCTTGTCTCTTGAATTTATGAAAGTATACAGATTGTCCCAGCAAAAGCAGTGATGTTTATCAAAATCAGCGATGTTTATCAAAATCAGCATTTTGGTTTAAGGAAACATAGACAGCGTATGTTAGCAAGCGGGGCAATGAGATTTGACTTAATTGAAAGGGCATGAAGACTGTAGAATCCTCATTCTGCTTTTCAATGTAGGTTCTGGAAATAAGTTGATTAAAAGCAAGAAATAACTGCTAAAATTTTACTAACTTCTAAAAAGCTGAAGTTGGATTTAACAGTTTATTATGATTTGTAAGTGTCATTTTAAAAACATCAGTCCATTAAACTATGTAGAAATAAGTATGCAAAAAGTCTGCAAAACAAAACATACTTTGAACATGTTTAGGTACGTAGATTATCTGAAATTCCGGATTGTTCAGTCACTTCCTTATTATGCTATGGCAGCCAGGTAATCCTTAACTTCAGTTGGAGTGAGCCTCCTAAAGCCGGCTTCATTGCAGATCCCAACTTCAATGTTATCTTCTGTCATTTGCCCTTCAAAGCTTTCCTATGGAGGGAGGAAAATCGGTCAGTTTTCCAAGTAGTTCATTATGAAATCATTATAAAATCATTTGGTAGATACTAAGCTAACCTTTAGGGTTAAGATGGCTGTATGAATGGCATCTTCAAGTTCCAGATCTTCATTATATCTAAAGAAAATATTTTAGAAAACAATGACTTTATGGCAATACTTACGTTCCTTATCGCTATTTTAGACACAATGATAGCAACAGCATAAGATTTCATAAGACAATCTAAAAACACTCTTAAAAACATTAATTGCACATTAATTCCTCTAGTTACCTCATTCAGATGTCTCCAAATAAGAAAATGACAATTATTTGGTGCTCAATTCCAAATATTATTAAAAAAAGTGTAACCCTAAAATGAGTTTAGGAAACTTCTTCAGTCAGAATAATTTAATGAAAAAATAAAAGTGTTAGGTGTTTATTCCTATAGGCTATAACATGTGAAATGTTTGGAAGACTTATTACCTAATAAAAGTTAAAAGGAAAGTGCCCTTTAATCCCAAGGTTACTCTTACCACTTAATTTTTAGTCTAGGATCTTTAATGACCTTAACACTATGTGAAAAATGTACAGGGAAGGTCATCTGCTAAAAGTCAGTAACATTTTTCAGTTCAAAAGGTAAGAGTCTGAAATACAGCTGGAATAAGTGACAGCAGTTTGTTGTTCTCCAACAGCAGAATTTTACAGTGCTTCACTTTTTTATTTGGCAGAACTGGCGTTTGAACTCAGGGCCTCACACTTGCTAGACAGATGCTCTACCACTTGAGCCACTCTCCTAGCCTTTTCTTGTGTTGGATATTTTTGAGATGGGGTTTTGTGAACTATTTGCCCAGGTTAGCTTTGAACCATGAGCTTCATCATCTCTACTTTCTGAGTAATCAGGATTAAAGGTGTGAGCCACTGACACACTCAACCAGTGCTCTATCATTTACCAAGGCCAGTGGCTGCTCCCGAGTAACTGGGTGAAGAGCCAGAGAGTAGGAGTTTGTGGCTAGCAGGTTCAGCCAAGGCAACAAGTTATCAACACCCCATCTCAACAAGTTGGGTGTGGTGGCTCATACCTGTCATTTCAGCTATACTGGAGAATTAGGTGGGAGGACTGCAGTCTAACAATGGCTCTGGGCAAAACCCACAAGATCTTTTATGAAAAATAAATAAACCAAAAAAAGGCTGGGGTGTGGTTCAAGTGGTAGAGCACCTGCCTAGCAAGCAGTTACTGATAAAAATAAAAAAAAACTTTACCAAGATTTTTGCTAAATATATTGGTACAAATATTTAATAAAAAATATTTAATTTGCTCAAGGTTTAATGAACTTGCAAATATCTAATAATCCATGTAGTTTAGTCTGCTCAATACCAAGTATTTGGTTCTATTATTTTTTGTCAATAAAAGCATTAAATCATTAAAAATTGCCTACTCAAAATAAAATTCTTTTTGAAATGTTAGGAAAAGTAAAAAAAAAAATAAGCATTTAGGAAACAACCAGAAGAATGCAGAAAGAAGATGTCCTAAAGAAATGAATATTACCACTTAATATACTGTAAGTTAGGAACCCAAGGTAACCTTTCTGTTTCTTTTTCTATAACTAGGTTCAAATACATGGTAATATAACAAATTTATTTAGAACCATAAAATCAAGTTTAAAGAGTGAGGAAGTCCATAAAGTCAGCTGCCAATGAATCTAATTCTAGTGAGCATACCTTTTCTCAAGAAATGTCTTCCCATTTACATAGTTCTTTCCCATCGCTGTGGCCTTCCAGGCAAAGTAAGCTCCCTAAACATGAAGAAAAAGGGGCCACACATTAAACATTGATACAATTACTCTGCCACTTGCTTTTTAACTCTACAATTAGTGTATCTAAGGACACAGAGTATTTATTGGAATGGAATAGAAATGTCACACAATAGCAAGATGAATGACAGAAACATTAAGAAATTTGGAGGTTAAGAAGTTTGATATCTTGATTAGGTGATGACTTCCTCAGGCATTTACATGTATCAAAACTCATGGCACTGATGATGATTTCTGTACAATGCACTTTATTATATAAATATTTGTTAAAATGCCAGTTAAAGGAAACTGAAGTTAAAACAAATAATCAAGAGTAGTATTTTAATTTAACAGACCAAAGGCATCTAGAAATGTGTCATATTAATCTGAAAACTGGTAATCAATTCATCACTAGTGAATAAATTAAAGAGATTGATTTTTATTAAAAAGATATCCAAAAGCTTTGATGTTTTGTAATCTGAGGTGAAATAAAAGCAGCAGCATTATGCCACATACAGCATGGCCTTATCTGTTGAAAAACATACATATGCACATGGGAAAAAAGCCAAATATTTTGAAGAAACAAGTGCCTTTTAGACATTAATAAGGAAAAATAGCACAAAAGATAACACTATTCCAGAGATAGTGGCTTCTGTCACCTACTGGAAAAGAAAGTAAGAGGGCATATGTCATTTAGTTTTGGAATCTGACAGAAGGTGTAACACTGTCAGAGACCCCAAAATATTTTTCCTGATTTACAACCAACCAAAATATTTTTCTTTTGTCTTTTAAGGTTATAGGTTAGATTATAAGGTTTTCATTGAATGAATTTACAATTATCTAATAAACCATTAACAATGAAAGAGCAGGTCCTAATCTTGAATAATTTTCTTAAGGTTCCCCTCATAGCAAATGGGACATGGAGTGGTATTCTCTCTAGGCATGCCTTCTACTCTAGACACCAATCTGATATTTTAAAGCAGACAACTCACCCAAGATATTGATCACATACTCATTTTGCCAAACACTGAATTCAAGACATCCAGTTTTTGTTGGAAGAATCACACTCAATTCAGTACCAAGATTAAATTGATGGTAAAGATGACAACACTGTCCTCCAGATTCACACCTTTAATTGGTGTTTTCCAATCTAACATAATTCTAGAGATCTAATGAGATTTGACTATTTCAACAAGTCATTCAAGTTTAAGACATTGATGAATATGACAGAAAAATGAAGGGTAAAACTAATGTAGCTTGTAGCTTCCTTAAAAGACTGAATTAATGAAATTTTGAATATGCAAACAAGTGTGCACCATTTCATACTTTCTAAAGCCAAAATGAAAATGAGAGAAAATGCTGATAAATGTTAAGGACTTTATGGCTTACACTTTTATAAGATATTCAAAGAACAATTTTAACAAATCCTTTACATTCATCTAATGATACTTACAGATGGATCTGACTGAAATAAATATGGTCGTCCCTCATTCCAACCACAGATAAGTAATGAAACTCCAAATGGACGAACACCACTGTAGAAAGGAAAATGAAAATTATTTGATATCTTCATGGTGGTAAAATCATCCTAAAGTAAGAATTTATCAATACTGTCAAATAGGGTAAATTGCCAAGTAAACTAAATTAGAGTTTTAATTTTAAGTTCTTTCCAAATGAATCAATTCAAAGCGAACTATCTTTATGGCAGTGAGGGACAGTCATCAAATAAGATTGCGTTAAATGGAGTGACACCCTTTTACAGTTTGCTCCCAAACGTTCATGTGTGGAAGGTAGATTCCCAATGTAACAGTCATGAGAGTTGGTAGGTCTTTGAGAAGTGAACCTACTGGAATGTTTTAAGTCATGGGCACCATTCTAAAAAGGATTAATGCTGTTCTCTCCCACTGGATTAGGTCTTGTAGGAATGGATTAGTTCCTACAAGAGTGAGCTGTAAAAAAGGAGTAGGTGGGCCTCTTTCCATTCTCTTGATTTCTCTCTCTTGCAAGGGCTCCAGCCAGAAGGCCCTTTATCAGAAGCTGATGACAGCATCATGCTCTTGGACCTCGAGAACAACGAGCTAAATAAACCTCTTTTCTTTGCAAAGTACCCAGCAGTACAAAATGGACGAAGATACACACCTAAAAATAATGGGGTGTTACCTAAGTAAGGGTAACAGTTAGGTCCTAACATACATGACAACGTTCAACTAATGCAGCTTTTCTGCTGGGTTTATGTATCAACAACTACCTTTATAGTACCTCATTCAACAGTGGAATTAGAATGAACACAATGCATCAAAGAGCTAATGTGCTCATCATGGGCTCACAATCACTTCTGAATGGAAAGTGAGGAAACAGTAATGATTGCCTGTACATATCCACACAAGTGTCTTAATCATTAGCAAAATGACTTTCTGATCCAAGATGCTTTCTGCTGTTGTATGAACAAAAAAGTGCACACTTTTTTCCTTAAAATATTCTATATGAAAATCAGAAACACTCATCATGTTGATTTTTTCCATTTGTTAAGTAAATATAGAAACAGCCTGTCTCCTTCTAGTTATGCATCTACTCTTTCTTTTTAAATGATTATTTATTCCTTCTTTTAATTTACAACAAATTTCAAGTAGCAAAAGCAACTTACCCTGACTGCGTGTACTCTTGCATCACAGAAGCTACTCTCTGTACCAACTGAGCTGTGGGAATGGGTTCTTGATAAACGAGATAGTATTGCTGAGCCAGTTTTCGAGCTCTGTGCACAAGCACTCTAACAAATAAGGAAGAAATAAGATTCAGTTAAAATTAGTATGTTCTACTACCTAAGGACTCGATTTCCCTTTTAAACTTACAGCACAAATTTAGCATGTATCTCTTTACTAGTTATCTACTCAAAGCCAGTCTTACTCTTACATCTAATTCCAAATGATTTAGAAGAAAATATTAGAGCATTATAGAGGAACTGAAAGATAGGAAATAGACAAGAACAAGACAAAAGGGGAAAGTACAGACTAGGGTATAATCTAAAAGGAATAGATTTAATGCACAAAATTATAATTTTATTGTCCACTGTGGCTTCTTCAAGACTGACCCCTTTATCTGAGGACGGCCACCTTGTCTTTTTATACTTCACCCCAGACAACACACACATATATGCACACATGAACATACACAATTTCAGACATGTTTTTCACTCTGCCTCAATTGTTGTTGTAGAATACTTTCATCTCTCTAACTACACTTCAAATTAAGTGTAGGTATTAAAAAACTGAAGGAACTTTAAAAGTATAAAGCTTGTCAAAAGATATTAATATATTATATAGGAATCAAATGTATTAGCAAGATAAGATTTATCTTTATCTGTTCATGGACTACCAAATTGAAATAAGCACATTATCCCTCTGTATGATATCATGCCCCTCTGACAATGGTGGCCTACTCTTCAGTGGTTACAGGGTCCACTGTGGTGAAAGCTGATCACATTCCAGTGATCCAGAGATTTCACTCACTAAAGTGAAATTTTAGCTCTACCTATCTTGCTCCACAAAGCCATGAGTAATAAAATAATATTCTTTTTACTTGTTAAGTAACACAGAAAACTGTCAATCTCTTAACTTGTTGGTACCCTTATATAACAGGAATAGTCTCTCTTTTCTTAACGACAAAGGGAGTGATATATGAGCTTCTGGATCCTGGCTGGTTGCCATACTCAACAACTTTTAGTGGCCTTTGAAAATTTTGTCCCTTTGACAAAAACAGAAATAAAGATAATGAGGTTAACTCTGGATGGTGAGGCTTCTTTTGCTGCCTGATACTTTCAAATAATTTAATAAATACATGTATTGCTTTGATCATTTTTAAAGTACACCAGGGAATACCGAAGCCATTTATGCACAGTCCTTGGATGATAGAAGGATAGTAATCAGAAGGAAAAGTCCACTAAAACAGAGATAAGAGGAGTAGGAACTCTCTCCTCTTATAAATGGTTTATACTGGTTTAATCTTCTTAAAAGTAACCTGCATAGGCAAAGTAAATTTAGTTGTTAATGAGGCTGTGCTGTTGCTAAGCAAATACAAAACAATAAATAAAACTGGAAAACTACAGGAACAACTCTTGACTTGTATCCTCAATTCATGAGCTGGTGAGAAAAACTATAAATAATATAAAATACCTGTAATCTGGGCCCATGCCACTATACACCAAACCTATATGCTTGGTGATTGGTTCCACTTTGTGTACACTTCGCTCATCATACAGAATGGATTTCTGTTTCTTCTCAGTTGCTAATACCACACCATTTGCAGCTTAAAAAAAACAGAAGACCTACATGTTTAATTATTTAGAGACAGTGTTTCATTAGCTTTCTAATTAAGGATGCATTTAACCCAACCTCCTTTGTTGTTTTCTTTCTTCTGGATTTTTATATCAAAATTAAGGAATGATAAATCAATTTTTTCCTCACTGATTACTTATAGTGCACCAAAAGAAAAAAAAAAAATCTCCACAGCTAAAGAAACGTATTACACACCTCTCTATTCTAGGATATCTAGAAGTTTACAAGCTTCAAAAGAATAGATTTCTGCTGACTTGGTTATAACATAAAATAAATCATGTAGCCCTTTTTTTACTTTAAGGATACTAGAATATGAAACAACTATAATGTATTTAGATTATGTTTTATAAGCAAATTATAGGAAGGATAAAACTGCCATAACCAGAGACTTAATGGGAAAATAAAAATACTTGGTTTTCTGAATGGAAAGGATTAGTAGTGGATTATCATAACTAATAGATAAAGGTGCAACATTTACTTTGAAAAGAAGCTTTAATCACTGCAGTAGGCCGATTACTCTTTTATTTGAACCTCAAAATACTCTCAACAAAAAGTGTTAAAAATCATGCTGTCACAACTATTTACTTATAAATTAGTTACAAACTCCCCCCAAAGGGATAACTATTAACAAGCATCTGAAGTGAATGAAGCATTTAATTACCTTTAATTCCCACTGAAGGGGCTCCTCCAGCTACAGCAGCCAAAGCATATTCAATCTGGACAAGTTTACCGGAGGGGCTTAAAAAGAAACACAAGTTATTTGCTAAATTCACATGTTCTTCATCTTTCTGTATAAAAGCTCAATAACTGGTGAGCTTACTGAGCAATCAAACATCTTTTGAGGTCAGCAATGCCACTAGCACACACATCTCTATCTGGGATAACTAGACTTCTAATTTTCTCTTTTCGTACCTTATTTTATGCTCTGTCAGCTATCTTTAGATCATGTCATGCCCACTTAAATCTTAAAACTTTTTGGTTCACTTAAAAAGCCCTTACTCTGGCCTAACAGGCCCTGCCTGGTTAACTCTCATCCAAATCACTTCCTTAATCACTATAGTCCACCCTGTCAACAATTCTCCTTACCCTGAAATTATCAACTAGCTGGTTATTTTATTTTTCCAGTCTCAAAAATCACCCTCGAACTCCAGGCCTTTCCTGAGTACTCAGTCTAAAGTTATGCTCTTTCTTTCACCTTTTAAAATAAATAGTATCAGAAAAACATTGTTTAGACCTCATTAGTAGGGTCCAATTTGTCCATTTGTCAATATCCTCAGCTAAATGTAAATCACTGAACACTGAATGTAAACTCGGCTACTCATGGACGTCCTTGGACAAGCTATTTAATTTTAGCGGTGGTTAGCTCATCTGTAGCATACTCAGATAACTTTCCCCAGAGGTGGCAATGGAAAGCCACAGTTAAGTTGCACCCACACAGAAAGTATTCAACAAGTTAGATCCCATGTGACTTTAGTGTCAAACAGGACACCAGCTAAATGGGCATCCTTAAGAAAATGCTTAAGCCACAATCATTCCCCGGTAGATTTTCGGTGATTTCTTTTTTAACACTGAGAACGGTAATATACTTTAAAAAACAAAAGCAAAAACAAAAAAATCTCTGTCCTATAACAGAAAAGCCTAAAATTTTTAAAAGCATACCTTCGACAAAAAAAAAAAAAAAATGCACGATTTCATTTGACCAGGATCCAGAGTTTCAAAAGATCTGCATCAGGCCTACTTGGGCCGGGAAGGAAATCCCTGAGTGTTAAATGGGCCACCTGGAGAAAGCTAATCCCAAACTGCTTCCGTTTCTAGTGTCCGAAGGGAAAGTGAACACCTGGCCCAAGGCCTCCTCGTCCCTTAGCTTTAAGTTCGGTCGGGTCCCAGGTCCACGCTCCCCAGGCCTTCCGACTCCCCCAGCTTCGGGGGCAAATGACTTTGCAAAGCTGCCTCTCCAGTTCTAGTCCCTATGGGACCCTCCGGAAGCTCCAAGCCAGAACCAGGAGAAACAAAACAGATTCGGGTGACTTTCTGTAGCTTCTGCTAGTGGGAGCACCTTGGGGTCTCTTCCATACCTGAATGTAGTCAGCGAAAAGCTGTAGCCGCGCTCCGCCATCTTTAGCTGGAGAGCGAAAGCATACACGCACACATGCGCACTGAAGTAGTTTTGGCTCATTTCCCCGCCTCTCCTTCCCCTCTCTCTCCCTGATTGGAAGAAAGTCAGAGGCGGTCCCTGTGCATGTTGGGAGTTGTAGTTCCATAAGCCGAATTTGCCTGACTCTTGGTTTGTACGCATGCTCTTACTAGGGCGGGATCTATCAGTTCAGAGAGTTCCGTCTTCCGGCCTGGAAGATGGCGTCCGCTGTGTTGATGGTGGTGGTTCCTCCGTGGCTGGCAGGTCGGGGATTGCTCCGAAACTGTTGGGAGCTACTTCAGCGGAAACTTCGGCAGAGCTGGTCAGGCTTTCCCAGTCCTCCATGGGGTAGGTAACGGAAGACTCGGTGGGGAGTGGGTTGATGAGGGGACACCGAGTTGCGAATGATAAATTTTTGCCCTCGGCGAGCGTGTATTAATTTTTGTGCCCATCCTCCTGTAAAAAAACAAACAAACAAACAAAAACCGTACATCGGTACACGGAATGTAACCCAGGCTTTTTAGTTTGTGTCAAAGATAACACAACCGGACTTTAGTTAAGTCTCTGAAAACGTGTGTTCAGTCTTTGCTGACGGGAAGAACTTCATTCCAGTGTGCGCGAAGTGATTCTGGCCCTTTACAGCCGGGAGAGCGGGCCAGGGCAGCCAGGGCAGCCAGAGATGTGCCCAGGAGTGATCAGTGAAAGTGCAGTTAGTCCAGATGTGTCTGCTAGCTCGCAGTTCCCAAGTTAGGATTCTTCTGTTCTCTCAGTGAGACTGGGAGTCAAGTCCTATCCTCGGTTGATAGTATTTCAGAGGAAGGGCCTCGGGTCCTTGAAAGAGTTGCTTTTGAATTGCCAGGGCTACATCTTTACATTTGTAAGCCTGTGTTAGTAATGTTGTAAGAAAGGGAGTTCAGGTGCCTATTATCAAGCGTGTGTTGACGAGGACGAAAACAAAATTTCCTGGCAGCGCAGTCTTTCTCAGGCCCTCCTAGAGATTGGTCAAGTCTTTTTGTACTGGTGCTTGGAGAGAGATGTTCTATGCGCACTGTTCTGCAGTTCTCACTTAGCCTACACGCTGCCCACTCTGGATCCCTATTACCTTTATTTTCCTGATGTCTATGGAATGCAAGTTGATCACGTCTCCTGAGTTCTATGCAGATGGATTCCGATTACTGTATTTCTGTCAGGAACTAACTTTAATTAGAAGTATCTTGGATGTTCAAACTATCGTTGCTTTGACATATGCAAAGCATCTCAGGAGTGAGGAAAGACAAACAATCTGAACAGAACTATATACTAAAAAAAAAAAAAAAAACTACCTCTATATACCAAACACTGTGGTAAAACATTTTTCTCCATGTACTTGCTGGGATAATTCTCCAAAACAATCGTGGAGGTGTCTATTTTTCAGCTGAAGAAGTACACTGAGAGGGGTCCCAAGGTCGCAAAGGCTGTCCAAGCCTGTGCTATTAACCACTGAAGTATGTTTAAAAACACCTTGTCTGTTGAAAAAGAATACCATATCTTAAGTCTAGGGAGCTTTATATACTTTCAAGAGTTCTTAACAGCTGAAGTATTGGAAATCAGAAAAATAGCAAAGAAAGGGAAAGGAATCTCTCTGATTTTATGAACAATTCAGGAAAAAAAAAGTGAGACATTGAGGTTGATATAGTGTTCAGGCCTGTAATCCCAGCATTTGGAGGCTGAGTCAGGAGAATTGAGAGTTGAGGTCAGCCTGGGCTACAGAGTTGGAACACAACCTGGATTTATAGCAAGACCGTGTTTCAAACCCCCATTTCCACCCCACTCCAATAAAGTGGGACATTGATAAGCAAATAAACAAAAATATGCAAAAAAAAAAAAAAGTGGTGAGCTAGCTTTTTTTCCTTAGAGAATAAGGAGTCAAGATCAAATATTAATGAAGTGCTCAGTGACTTAGGGGACCTACCAGGTTGTATGGTAAAGAAGCTTACAGGGTTTGAATATGATACATATTTTTTAAAGCCAGTTTCAGAAGTGCATTAAGTGAATGCACTAATTAATTAGGTATTTACTGTCTACCACACAGAATGTAGACAATGAATGATTTTGTTTGTTTTAAGTTGGGTGCTTGTGAGACTTTTATTAATGTTTACTGTATCACTTTAGCAGGTTCCACTAAGAAAAACCTTTTGTGTTATTTAAAATTGCCTTTTGTATGAGCTTTATTACTGTATGCTTTAATAGCTAAGGTTTCCTGCTAAATGTCTGTTGAAGTTTGCATTCTAAACTATGTCTATATATGTATGTGTGTGTTTATTGGCATACCACAGTTGATTATTAAAGAGAATAATATTTCTAATCATTTAGGAGGTAGAGATTGATTCTGCATGTCCATGTTTTATTTTATAGCACCAGCACTAGCAGTCCAGGGTCCAGCCATATTTACAGACCTAGCAAATGATATCAGTGGAAGGAAGGAGAATTCCAGCATTTCTGACAGCATCTTTTGGATGGCAGCTCCCAAAAACAGACGAAGTATTGAAGTTAACCGATGTAGGAGAAGAAACCCTCAGAAGCTTATTAAAGTTAAGGTAATGTGTTGATTTTTGTGGGTATGCTTTGCCTCAAGTCTGCTATTCGATAGCCTTCTGATATATTTGTACAGCCTATGGATAAATTGTCTCAAATCCTATGTTTTCACCCTGTGGCCTGAATGAAATACAATATTCTCATTATGTAAATCTGTCCTCTAGCCTAAGTATTAAAAAACATACTCAAGGAAGAAGTTTAGAGAGTAGACTGAGGACTAGGTCTGAAGAGCCCACATGACTTTTGAATTTTGAGCTGTGTCAGTTGTGAACAATGCGATGTTGAACTGTTACAAATGGATGAACAGCTATGGCAGGACCTCATTAAAATCAGAAGTAGGAGGCATGTTGGAGCTTGGACTTTACTAATTATTACATATTTAATTTATTCTTTGCTCTCTACAATAAAATACTGTTGAAAGTCCAGAAATAATAAAAATAGCTAACATGGGCATAGCTCAAGTGTTAAGCATACCTAGCAAGTGTGAAGCCCTGAGTTCAAACCCCTGAACTGTCAAGAAAAAAGAAAGTAAAAGTAGCTAACATCTATTAAGTACCTGTGATGTATCTCAGTGCTTTTTGTTACTGCATCATGGTACCATGTTCTCACAACAGCCTTCCAAAGCAAGTATCATTTTCTTCATCTCGGGCGAAGAAACTTAGGCAAAAAAGAATTTACCTGTGGGCTAGGAGTATGCATGTCTCAAGTGGTAGAGCCTTGAGCTGAGTTCAATCCCCAGTACCACAAAAAGAAAAAGCTGAAAAGAAGAAGAAGAATTTGCCTATGGTCACACAACTATTAAGTGGCAGAACCAGAATTTGAGCCCTGGCAATCTGATTTTGGGACCCCTCTTGAAACTTTCCTTTTGAAACTCTCCTTTATGTACTCCTACTTTGAGACAGTTCAGAATTCCTCCATCCCACAATGTGAATGAACACTCTTGGAGAAAAAAAATGATAGTGTATGTTGGCTCTGATCTGTTTATGGCTTTTCCAATTATAATTTCAATTATTATTTACTTTGTGGCAATCTACAGCAGTAACACTGTATAGATGAAATGCAACTACATTGACTGTTAAATGCCTAGAACTTAAGCCAAAAACTGTTAACTGATGCATGATTGGAAATGAACTTAAATTTGGAACTGAAAACAGTTAAGACTTTTAAACTTTGGTCTGGAGTACCTAAGATTTTAGGAATGAAATTTTGTGCCAAGATTACAGAACTTCTCTCACTACTATTGTTATATACGTTTATTTTCTCTGTTGACTTATTTCCTGCTATGAATAGTGTATTGTTTTGGGTACTTTGATCACGAAAAGAAGACAACTGACTGGGGGTATCTTTTATACCTTCACTTAGACATGCAATTCTGTTTCTAGTATAGCAGAATAAAATGAGAATATGATAAGGCAGTCATTTGCAAGTTTCTTTGTTCCTTTCAGAAAATGAAATTGTTTTGCTGTCTGCCTCACAGATAAAATCTTATGAAGTGTTGAAGCTTTTTTAGTGTTCCTGTTAACCATTTTCTGTATATATTTTTTTAAGCCTTAGAATTTGTTGAAAAGTTTTTTAGAGGTTATAATTTTGTAAAGTTGGATAAATGTATAAAAATTCATTAAAATACCCTCAAATATAGCATAACAAGAAAGTTTTACGTTAAGGAATAATCGGTGCTTACCTTTAAAAAGAAATACTATACCACCTAGCAAACCTATGTTCTATAAATGAGTTTATATCACACTAATAAAGCAGTGGAAGCCAGCTTGTAATGTTCTTATCTGTTTTCCTCAAGATAGATTGAAAGTGAATTTACTTTTTCTAGGTGTCTTATTTAAAATAACCATTTGGATCACCCTGTTTTGTTGATTGACTCCTTATTAGACGTTTAGTATTCGTCAATGACTATTGTGTTTAAGTAAAAATGTACCATGTGCTATATAGTCCTGTAAATCCCACACATGGGAGGCCAAGGCAGGAGAATCCCGAAGTACCATATCCAAAGCCAATAAACCTGAGTTTTAGTCCCAATTTTATTTTAAACTAATTCCAAGTCAGTATTGCTTATTCTCAGGTTTCCTGTTAGGATGAGATTGAACTGGATGATACGTGACTTCTTGTAGCAGGAACTTTCTCAGAAACCTAATATGTAAGATTCTCTCCTGATGGTGATTATTTGCACATTATGTTGTCTCTTGTTAATATATATGCTTTTGTTTGTTTTAAAGAACAATATAGACACTTGTCCTGAATGTGGTCATCTGAAACTGAAACATGTCCTTTGTGGCTATTGCTATGAGAAAGTGCGCAAGGAGACTACAGAAATCAGACGACAAATATGGAAACAAGAAGGGGGTCATTTTAAAGTTCCTACTGTAGAGACCATGGTGCTGTACACTGGAGAGAGACCATCTGAACAGGACCAGGGAAAGAGGATCATTGAACGAGACAGCAAGCGGCCATCCTGGTTCACCCAGAACTGACACCATAGATGTTGAAAGGATTATTTCACAGTAAAACATTTCTCTTGAAACAGGAAAGTCTTTGTTTTCATGTTGTTGTGCTTGTTTTAAAATCATCAGTTTAGCTTAAAACATATTTTTTGAATAGCTAGTTTTGTGTGAGATAATATGAAGAATATATCATGAATGAACTCTAAAACAAAAAGTTTTAAATTCATAGCAAGGGCCAAATGTGGTTGTTCACAACTACAATCGCAGCACTCAAGAGGCTCAGACAGAAGGATCTTGAGTTTGAGGCCACCTGAGTTGTACTGAGACCCTGTCTCGGAAATGGGTCATAGCAAGTATGACTCAATCACACCAAAGGAAAGGAAGGAAAAAAAGAATTACATGCTTTAGCTCTGGCTTGTTTCCCAGTGGTTTTCTTAGATAAGAATACTAACACAAAGAGCTGGGGTGAGTGGCTCACTGCTATATCTCAGATACGTGGGAGGCCATAGGTAGGATGATGGCAGTTTTTGCCCTGTTGGGGCAAAACCATGAAATCCTACCTGAAAAAAACTAAAGCAAAAGAGGGCTGAGACCTGTCTCTAGTGCTAGAGCACTTGCTTAGCAAGTGCAAGGCCCTGAGTTCAAACTCCAGTCCCACCAAAAGAAAAAAAACTTAAACACAGATACTTTATTTAAGTAACTTGGAAATAGACTATTATTTTGAATTCTTGGTATTGTTTTCAAGATTGTAGTTGTTGTGGAGCTTGGTGAGGTGTACCTGTAATACCAGCACTTAGGAGACTGAGGTAGGAGGAGTTTTAGTTCAAGGCCAGCCTAGTCTACATGAAGAGACTCTTTCTTAAAAAATAATAATAATTTTGTTAATAAGAAAGAGTTCTATTTTTTTTGTTTTGTTTGCAAATTAAAATAGCCTTTGAAGGAGTTCACTTTGTATGGAACATGCTAATTTATTTAGATGACTAGAAACAGTTCTTTACATTAAAGGGGCTCATGAGATTTGTATTCTGTAATTTTGGGAAAGATTTTTAGTAGAGAGATAAGAGTGGATTCCATCATATACAGAAAATATGCTAAGGATGTTGACTGTGCATCTCGCTTGTAGCATGTCCTTTTAGTTTATTACACATTTGTATCATTTTTATCTCTTTATAGAGGTGTCCTCTTTAGCTTCTTGCGATTTACTTTTTAATGTTTTCTCCTCTCATTTGTGCATTCACCTTGAGCCCAAGGTTTGCTGTTTTGTTTTCTGCTTCATTCAAAATAGAACTGAGATAACTCATTGAAACACATCATGATAGGAAGTAAGAAGATTATAGTTAAAGAGAAAGATTGGAGAACAATGCAAGATGAAACCCAGGGATGTATTTAAAAAATACATGCCACCGTAACATGGTCATTTATTAGATTAGGCAGTAAGTTCAGTTTTTAGCTGTATTTGAAAAGAAGGAATGTTCAGTTACTTCACTCAGTTTCCACCAGGTAAGACATAAACTAGAAGGTGTACCACTAGCCTGGTACTAAATTCTGAGTAATACCAACCATGGAGCTGCAAAATGAAGACAGTTTAATGGTAATTCATGTTGACATTCCTAGAGGTAAAATAACCTATTTGGAATATAGTATAGACCCATGATGTATTGAAGTGCAAGTCAGTGAAAGCAAAGCTTTAAAACTTCTAAAGCACTAGAATCCCAGTTAACAGCTCTTGCAAGGGTTAGCTCAATCCAAGAAAAAACTGAAAATTGGAATACCAGAGGAATTGATTCTCTGCATTATTACGGTAGTTCTCCAGATACTTATTTTTTACTTTGACAAATTATGCAGATGCTATGTGTCAAACTTAAGGTAGATGTACTTTAAGTAGAGCATTGGTTCATGAAAGCTAAGGCTGTCTAGGGGTATATATACCTGAGTAAATTATACTGCTACTCAGTATGCTGGTTAGCTGATAGATTGCAAGGTGAAACCCTGGGTAACATTGTCCTTTGTTGTGGATTGAATGTCTTTCCCCAAACTTCACATGCCATGTTTAATATCCAGTGTGATGGTCTTAGGAAGTGTGGGACCTTTGGGAGGTAATTTGGTCATCAGGGTAGAGCCCTCACAAATAGCATTAAAGCTTTTGTTGGAAGAGACACAAGAGCTTTTTCTCTCTGCTCTCTGCCATGTAAGGAGGAAAGGAGAAGGGTGTCTGCAAGCCAGAAAGCCAAACCTCAGAACCAAATTTACTGGTACCTTGATCTTGGACTTCCCAATCTCCAGAACTGTGAGAAATAACTTGTTTACACTACCCATGTCAACTGACAGAAGGCTCTGTGGAGATGGATCAAGTGAGAGTATGTGGGCAGAGTCACTATTACTGTTTTCTGCTTTCTATTCATTTATGGTTATAAAATAAATTCCCAGATTAGACCATTGTTAGCAAAATCAGATTCTAGTTTATTTCAGCCAACTATGTCGTAAAGGAGAGTGCCCACAACTATTCAGAGATTATCTTCTTAAAATTATCTTACAATTGATTTCTGTGTATTTAAAGATGTTTTAAAGATGTTTAGAAGGGAGCCAGGTGCAGTGGCTCATACCTGTAATCCTAGCTACTTGGAGGCAAAGATTGGGAGGATTGTATTTTGAGGGCAAAAGCAAGACCACATCACAACCAAGAAGCTGGGTGTGGTAGTACATGTTTGTGATCTCAGCTGTGTTGGAAGTGGGAAGTTATACTGCTAGGTGGACCCTAGCAAAACACATAAGGCCCTATGTGAAAAATAACCAAAGCAAAAAGGGCTAGGGGCATGGCCCAGTACTGCCAAAAGTAGTACTTTTATCTTATCTCTAGTTTTTACTTGCAGGAAAAAGAAAAAACAAACAGAAAACAAGTGTTAATCAGGATTCTCCAAAAGAACAGAACCAAAAAGGGTACATGGTAAAAGAATTAATAGTCCTTCAGTTGCCATCTGCAGGCTAGAGAGCTGAGGAACCCAATAGCTTGGTCCAAGAAACTGGAAGAAGTCATCCTTGACTCTTCACATTACACGTTGTCTCCCTTTCACATCGAACCTAATTAGAATCTGACCACTTATCCTTGCTTGCACTACTGCTACCACTTCCCAGTTAGAGCCTCCATTGTCTCTTTTTTTTTTTTAGGATCTTGCTGTGTAGTCCAGGCTGGCCTTGAACTTTCAATCTGCCTGCCTCAGCCTCCCAAGTACTGTGCTTGCAGGTATATGCAACTATACCTGGCTAAGTTTTTCTGGGTTTTATTTTTAATAGTACTGGGATTGAACCCAGGGCCTCCTACTTGCTTAACAAGCACTACTACTTGAGTATCCTTCTAGCTGTATCCTGCCCAGAGTATATTAAGTTGCCCCCTAACTAGTCTCCTGTGGTCTGTTTTCAGCTGTAGTCAGAATCCTTTCAGGTCAGAGAAGAGGTTACATCTCTTCTCCATTAAGATTCCTTTATTCAAAACCTTAAATGAAACATGCCAAATAACTGATCATTTCTACTTTATGCAAAAATTATACTTTGTTTTTGGTAGACCAAAACTATTTTGGGTGCACATGGATGACATCAGTTTAATGAAATTGTGGTAGATCTTTTAAAAATGTGAATATTTTTCATAGTTTGGTTCAGACAGTGGTGATAAAAGAATTGCCTTCACCCTCTCCTCAAAGAACTTTTTCTATTCCTGCCCCCAACATCCTATATGCAATTTTTGTGTTTCAGGGATATGATTTGACCCTCGGTAGTTTTAAATCTTGTGCTAAGGAACTCTATTGTCTGTGATTAGAGGTTCTTTACTTGACACATACACAAAAATAGATGTTTGTCTTCAGCTGCACCTGAAGGAGCAGTATAATTCCAGTGCTTGAATTAATGAAGAGCATTGTTACCTGTGCCTCCATGACACAATGGTGTCTCTTCCAAATGCTGTTCTCTGGTTTCTACAACAAGGAGTGTGTGGCAACACCTAAGGCAAAAAGAGCATGGTGCTCAGTCCCTATCCTGGCCTACTCTTCACAGGGCAGCTTTTTACTCTTGAGAACATTCCTTATACAAGGCTCATGCCTTTGTGTTTCCTGCTGATGTCCTCTGCTGTCCCTGTTGACCTGTGCATTCACCTTCTCCATGCTTGTGAAGATGCTAGTGAGTGTTAGGGATACAGTTTGTTACTAGACTGGGAGAAAAACTAGTGGGCCAATATGTTCCTGTCTCCTGAACCCTGCCCTGCTATTAATCTCAGAGCCAGCTTGCCAGTTTAAGCCTTACAACCACACCAGGAGCTGCCATAATTCAACCAGACATCACGCACAGCCTCACTAGGGGGCAGCAGGTGAATTGCATTGAGAATCTTCTCAAGTGAAACAATAAATTGTCAGCTCTAGCAGTGCTGAGGACATTGTCTGCTACCAAAGCCATCAGTGTGTGGTTAGGAGACAGGATTACTGTAGAAGAAGGCCTGCCCCTAACACTGAGTAAACGCCATCAGCTGTGAACAAAATTTAGCCTCACCCATCACTATGTTCACAGCTTCTCTCTCTGCTTGGAGATTAGTGTTGGTTCCCTCATGGTGCCCATCTGACTCTCTTCTTTTCCTACCTGATAACCCTTGGGTTTATGCAGCCTGCTTAATATAATTCCTTCCCAAGAGTATTTTTTTCAGGAAAAAAACAGAACAGTACTGCTATGTAGCTATCTCTCCAACATTTCTGTGTGTGTGTTGAAACAGGGTCTTGCTGGGTTCAAATTCCCAGTCCTCCTGCCTCAGCCTCTGAAGTACATGCACCACCATCCCCAGCCCCACTATACAGTGGCTAGAAAGAAATACTGATTTTCTTCTTGACACTATTCTAATTCAGTAGCTCCAACCAGGAGTAATTCCCTTCTACCCTCAGGGAACATTTGGTAACATATACAGATATTTTTGTTGTCATAACTTCTGGAGAAGTCAAGTTCTACTGGATTCTGTTGGGTAGAAGCCAGAGATGGTGCTCAACATTTTCCCCTATCAGACTCAATGAAACTAATAATATTTTGAATAAAAAATTTGATAAACTACATTAATTTTATAATAGTCTCAT